CCCCCGCCCCATCCGTATTGACAGTTCTCGTGATAAAGAGCACATCGTCGGCTAGAGGTTCAGATTAAGCCCAACAGTTTGATGTCTTTCAGAATTGAAATTTGTTAATCTGTGGTACCGGTTACATGTGCTCAAAAAATAACATTCTGTCGAAATTCAAATTCTAATCAATGTTGGAAAATGCAAGAAAAATACTTAATGTTGGTACAGTTGTTATAAGAATAAAGCAGGCTATTGGGTCTCGCTCGCTCTCTCTCTCTCTCTCTCTCTCTCTCTCTCTCTCTCTCTCTCTCTCTCTCTCTCTCTCTCCTGAATAAATAAAATTAATTTTGCTTTCTGGGATTGGTAAATTTGAACAGGTTGCCAATTGGCAATATGAAAAAAAAACAAAGACTTCGGAAGGTGTGAAGGCTTGTCCTGTTGGCGTAAGAAAGATATTTCCTCTTCGGGGAATGCAATGCTCATTTATTATGCTGTTTATCAGATTGAAATATCGTTCTTCAGGTTTCGCTCTCCCACGCGATGCAACCTGTACAAGCTTGACTACACTTTGAAAAACACCTCCAAAAAACTAGTGTCAGCTTGGAGTTCTTTTCAAGTTTTGAAAGATATGTAACTGGGGTTAGTGGGTGTTGTACGTGGCGTCGGAAGGCTAGTGGTTGGGCTACAGAACACATGATCGTAAGATTGCAGGTTTGGGGGTTCGAGCCTTAGGCCCGATGTTTTGCCCTTTGGAAAGGCCCTGTTCACGAATTTTCCTTACTTCAGGTGGGAATGGATACCCGATCATAGACAGCGAATGAGCTTGTCAGTATGTTAGTGATTTGGCGTCTTCAAAAGGGTAGCTTGCATAGTGTGCTTCTCAGGATGTTGAAATTGTTTCAAAATATAATCAGCTGGGGTAATAATATTGATTGCAAAGCGCATTGAGCTTGTCTGGTGGGAATTAGCGAAATAAGAGTGTTATCTATTATTATTACTTAACACAGTTTAGTTCTGTGTTTCCGTTCATTGTTGAATTATTTGAAAGTTACACACATAGCAAGCATTTCATTGGAATCAAATGAGAGAAACAGGAGAGAGGAAGACAGCAAGAGAGAGAGAGAGAGAGAGAGAGAGAGA